CTATGAAATAGCAAGAACTCTAAATATACAACAGGTTTAAGCAATCAACACCTATGGCAGGCCTAAACCATTCCAGTTGAATGATGAGTGGAGAGAAAGAGAAAAATAGAAAAAGGAGTGAATGAGTGGATAGGAGATGGAGAGGCAGCTGCATACAGTGAGGAGTAGAGTACCACAAGTCATTCCTTCAAGTTCTGTACTCCCCCAAAGGGTGTCAAACCTGGCTTGCAATCTCCCCCTTCTCTTGAGTACTCCCAGGGCTACAGGAACATTAGAGGTGTTCCCACCGATAAGAACTGCTACACCTGGACAGTACAGTTAACCAAAGTGTCCAGGAATGCTCACCTTGCCTCTCAGGCCAACCAGAAGGCTAAGCAGCTCTACCTTTCTCTCGAAATAGTTGAGTATTTCCTCACTTGAGGAACTCCCCATTTCCATTCCACTTATCCCTTCTGAATAAGTTGTGAAAAGAGAAGTCATTTAATAGTTTAAAAAGTCAAGCTGAGACAATCTTTAATAACAATAGAAATCCTAATGCAGCACAGAGCATTAACTGTTAACTTGAGGCATTAACCTTAACCATACAATTAAGGACTTTTGTCTAGGAAAAGATAGTACCTAAGAAATTTAGGTACTGAACAGTATGATTTCTAGTCAGAAATGGCGTTGGGTGTGTGATGGAAATTCAGGTTAGTAAGGTCCTCAGCCTTAATGGCCTGGACTTGAAAAGACAGCCACTGCTATGAAAACAATATTCTCTAGTAGGTTGAAATTCACACCCCTGATCATGAACTTACAATATATAAAATATATAAAGACCTACAATTAATTCCTTTTCTCTGGAGTCTAACCAGGAACATAATTCCAGAAATTGGAACAATCTTGAGGTCTCCCTTCTCTAAGATGTAACAGCTCACAGGCAAGAGAACACTTAAACTTTTGAGGATTCAAAAACAGGCTACTAACCCTAGTCATTACCAGTTTTGAATTCAACTTCCTCCTAATTTCCCTTGCTTTGGTGTACCCCTTAACCTTATGATTTGCTTACCCCATTTATAACTTCCAGATATCTATATCCCCTATTCCTTTTTTTTCCTGGTGGATGTCTGCCTTCTCTACTTGTTGTAACTAGCAGGATTGCAGTACATTCTACACGCAAAAATGTATCCTCAGTGTTCTAAGCCAGGGATGGGAAAGTGAAAGTAATTCTCCCCTCAGGTGAAGATGGTAAAGATTTTAGAAATAGGGATTTTAACTTTAAACAACTTTGATTCACTTCCTGGACTGGCAATGCACCAGGAAACCTCAACAGAGCTAGTCATGCGAATCCTCATGCTGACCCTGCTCTGCAACAACATGGAAACTGGGGTGGGGTAGGGTGGTGAGGAGTCTGGTTTAAGAGACTATCTTGGGTCTAAACAGCCTCTTACTAACTTCTCTTGATGACAGTTGAGCTCAAACCGACTTACCTCTCCTGTCAGGAGGGGTCAGGGTACATAAAGCTCAACTCTTTTGATGGCCTGGTACCACCATTATTTGTGTGTTTTCTACTTTAAAAAAAAAATCACATTTTATAACCCCAACTCATTTTTAATTCTCTAGTTCCTGGTCTAGTGTTTTCAAGCACCTCTTCAAACCCTGATACTTTGGGGGGGGTGGAGGGGGTAGTTTATGAGTCTACAGTGATTCTGAGACAGAGAACCTGTAAGATAAAGTGGAGGGAAAATGTCCTTTATACCTGATCAGATATGCTCATAGGATACAGATTAAGAAGTAAATGCAATGGAGCAAAAGTGATATAGTAACAGGAAATATTTAATTTTCCAATCTCCACTTTCCATTTTTATAAACTGAAAGAAAAAAAATTGAATATATTACAAAATATCTGTACATTGACAAGGTACACCCAATGGGGGGCAAAAACAAGAGAGAGAAAAGAATACAGTGTCAGGAACCTAAGTCAGGGAGAATGAGGTGGCAACTGACACTTTTCTGATACAGCATTCTCTCTCAAAACCTGCTGGTAACCATTTTAGCACTGTAACTATATATGCATATTATATATACACACACACATACAAGTGGTTGGGTGATGTCTATGGCATAAACTAACAGAAGTCCTACTTACACACTTGTGCTAACTGCCCTGCTTCAAACATATAAACCTGATGTCATTTTCAAATCCTTATTGTTCCTATGGACACTTGAAGAAAAAACTAAGAAAACTGGGTCAAACATATTTGTTTTCAAAACCACAAAAACGATCACAAATGTTTGCCTCCCATTCATGAACAGAATCAGATTTCTTATCTGTTCAAAATAATGTATTTAATAGACTTAATATCTCTCATGGTACAATTAAAACAAAACAAAGCCAAAACCACTCTTGAATGGTGTTAACTGGGTTTGTAATTTTCAAATAGGTAAGCTGAAACTCTGCCAAATCTTTACTTCCAATACATTTATAGATATCATAGCTGAAAAATTAGCAAATACCTTTTCCTCCTCCAGAGATTCCAGGATATTTAAATGAGTATTTTTCCTCTGCTTTTAAAAATAGTCAAAATTACCAAATTTTTTTTCTTTTTCATTTTAAAGGTTAGACTCCCAAAATGGGGGTAGGGAGTGAAATGGGAGCATATATATACGCACACACACTCACACATACACTCACCTCCTTCCCTAGTAGGGATGAGGGAATGGAGGCTTAAGTATATTATTCAGGATATTTGGCATAATTAAAAATAAAGGAGTGGGAGACAGGAAGGAGAAACATTATTGATGACTGCTGATAACCAAAATACAATGAAAATATATAGAAATTTTTATTCATTTTTGATGGAAAACCAATGTTTTTTTTCACTGGAAAGATACTTCCAAAAGTATCATGGGCTCAAGTTCTTTAATCAAAAACAGAGTGGGGCCCAATACCTCAAATTCAAATATTCTAAAATACAAAGGCCCATGTCTGAGGACTAAGAAGTCAACAGACAAAAGGTTCAGATGAATTTTCATGCAACTTTCCAATAGCATGTCAGTGAGCCTAGAAAATCTAATTGGACACACTGGTATAAAAAGCCATCAATGCCAAAATAGCTAGAAGGTTCTTTCTAATCAGTAGTTGGCCGAGGGCAAGGCCAGACCAAAAACCAGAGAATAATAAAGAAATACACACACCGATATCTACCTATTTCAGTAACAGCGGAAAACAGTCTTCAGGTATCTGAAGAGGGTTCTTCTTTCATTTCTTAAAAGTTTTTTTTATTAATGCACCTTTCTCTTACAAGTAGATTTTATTTTTTAATGTTAAGAACTTGGCATTAAAACATGAAACTTGAGTTTTGAAAACTATTCTCCGAGATGCCGAAGCATGTTTACCCTTTCATTGTACAAGGGTACTAACCTAAGTTTCTTAGAGGTCTAAGTCTGTGAAGATAAGTATATGACATGTATCTGTTTTCAAAACACTCTATATACGCTGGTACTCACGTAGCAATGGAAGCCAGAATAAGAAGTTTCTCATGTTATCCCACCCTGACAGTTTTTCTCTTTTCTATTTCCTGTTTATGGTAAGGCAAAGTTCTTGCCAGGAAGCACAATTTTTGACCCCTTTTTTCAACCAAAACCAAATCTCTCTGGAGGAAAATTCCTAAAAGAATTGGCTGGATATACATGCTGAGATGTGTATATGTCAATACTGTTCTTTCTCATGGTATGCCATTTGAAAATTATTTTTTAAAAAATGTATCAGGTATTGATATATCTTCAGAAAAATACCCACCCTAAACTAGGTTACATTTCCATGTATTTTCAGGATGTATTTTTTTTCTCTTTGACATTATCACAATGCTCTCTTGGAAAGGTTTTTTTGTTTTTTTTTTTACATAAAAATATATGTGTAAACAATATGCTAAATGCTCTTATTAGCCTTCTAGGTATGGAAGTATCATTTCTAATCATAGCTCAGCAGCAATGTCCTAGGCTGTCCGCATTTACAAATCAACTTCCCCATCAGAACACGATTTTTGAAAAAACAAAATATTTTAGAATTGAAGAGTTACAGAGAACAATGTAGGAGTTTGAATTTCCTTTCCTTTATTTAAAAAAAAAAAAAGTAAAGAATTATCCCAGGTTCTTGGGCATCTCAATTAATTTTTTCCAAACAAATGCCTCGGGGGCAGGGGGAGGGAGAAAGGGGAGAGAAGGGGGGGAGACAGAGCAAGATAGTGGAGAGGAGGGGGGCAAAAAAGGACAAAGACTGGGTAACAATCTACCTACTTGCCCAAGAATGCCACCTACAACCTGCTTTATATGCAGGGAGAGGGGCATATCTATTGTCAAAGTGGAGCAAATTTTAAGGATGAGTAATTTATTTGGAAAAAGGTATGTTCAAGATGCTCAATGGGGGAAAAAAAGTGTTCACTTCAAAGCAAAATGTGAGATAGTGGAGAGGAAGGAAACATTTATTTAAATCAGTCAGACCACTCTCTTTTCCTTAGCAAAAGCCTAAGAGCAGCTCAAATTGTGTGAACACTATTCTCTTTAAAAAAAAAACCCTAAATTAAAATTTAAAAGAAAGAAACCACACACAACCCCCACCCCAAAAAACTTAAATTTTTTTAAAAAAACCAAAGAGCTTCTCCTGAGCCATCTCAAACTGAAACTGTTCTCTCTCTCCTGTTTAAGAAGTGCAGGCAATTAACCAATAAAACATTTACTTTTCAATTTAATGACCCTCTCCATATTCTCTACTTGTATCTACTAGGAAGAGCTGAAGTAAATGTTCTCGCTATAGCCCATTCAGGGGGAAACTGGTGCCAACATCATTATTTTGTAAGTCGCCTGCTAGTAGCAAATGAGCAAGGAATACAACGGACAGCTTTGCAGTAGCCAAATGCAGATGATTACCTCGCTCTGGCAAATGATTTCATTAAAGGTTCAGTGGACTGGATGGAAGGATGTATTGGGAAGGAATCTTTCAGGACACTGAAGTCTCTGGGTTAGTAAGGAACTCCTCTCCCTCTTCCCCCTCTTGGTGGGACTCTTGTAGGTCCCCGATAGAGTTTTCCATAAGCTGAAGACTGAGCTGGGGCCCCCCAATGAAGGCCTGCTCCTGAGCCGCTGGCCCCAGTGGTTTCTGGCCCCAGCTCCCCATAGTTTTGCAATTTGGTCTCTGCATGTACCACAGAGTTGTTGCTTCCCTCAGCCTTCAGGAATGGTTGCCCGACCACCGAGTGTAATGCTAAAGGGACCCTGGCAAAACGAAGGTCCTGGTCCCCTGGAAACTGCACTGACCCTGTGCCCTGGTAACTGCTGGACTCCCCAAGGTGGCTCACAGAGCCTGAGAAGGTCCTGTTCTTCACCAGGGTCTGCACCAAGGATTCTGTCAAGGCTGGACCAGAGCTGCGTTCATCAGTGTCAGTGGCACTGAACCCTGTTTCAGGCCCATCCGTGCTTCCGTAAGTCCTGTTTGGATGGGGCCGGGTGGAGTACTCCATTGGTCTCAAGGCCTGGTGCTCATGTGGCAGGTGGCCAGGAGGCTCTGCTTCAGGCTGGGATAAAAGTTGCAGCAAGGCGGCTGTCACAGCTGGGCTCAACTCCTGGGGGGCGCTGGAAAGATCGCCTTCAACCAGAGGGGGTGGAGGTGGCGGCGGTGGAGGTCCGGGGGGCTCAGGGGGCCTCTTCTCTGGTGGAAGAATGTGAGGAGGACATGCTGTGGAAGGGTTACTTCTTTTAAACACCATCTTAAAAAGCACATGTGATTATAAACACAAACATACGCACACACACACTGCCCAACATAAATACCAATACAAGTAACCAGATATATAAAAAATAAAATCTTGGGATCAATAAATTGTAATTTATATAAAAAAAAATCAGGTGATTAGATGTAGAACAGTTGCATTCTGGATCTAACAGCTGGTATAAAAAGATGGTTTGTTTCAAATAATTGTCCTGATTTCTGTTTGAGATTTCCTCTATTTCCTTCCTTAAAGAACTGTTCTGATATGTAGGCTGTTGGCATCCTCCCTTTCCCTTTTTGCTGTTAGATCAAAACATTAATGAAAACAAAGCAAAAGAAAGGAAGATGAGAGGGAACAATATACATGCTGTGGTCACATTTTTAGGACACAATCTTGCTGTACAATAGAGACCTGGCATGGACTTGGCTAACGCATTTTACAGAACATTTGATGATATAAGGTTAACCTGAAATAGAACTTAAAGAACATACAGGAGAGATGAAATAAAGTAATAACTTTTCATTACCATCATATATAAAAATATACTTGCTTCTCCAAACTTTAGTTACCTCTCCCCTAATCATATTCTGAAAAAAGAGATATCAGCCACCATACTGTCATTCTGCTCCCAGTGTTATAATAACTATAAAAACTAAATTAATTCTCTATCATAATTTTGTTTTCCTTCCTCCTGCATTTTATTCATGCTATGAAAAAAGAAATCACTATAACAGTGTCATGCAGAATAGGTTGTTGATAAACATGTTTATCTTGGAGATGGTGATACGAGTTCAGTATTTAGAAATATATTGAACTAACACTACTTTCTGTGTCTACAAAGACCTTTTGTCTTTCTTGAACTACTTCCCCAGACTTTCTTTTGTCCACTGCTGGCTAAATTTGTTTAAGCATGATAAACAGCGTCTGATAATGAACTCCTGTCAAGGCAGGAGAAGAGAGAAGTAAAACAGTATGAATTTAAGGACACACAAAACCACTGAGACAGAAGTATGGTCAGAACAGTGCATTTAAAGAATTGATAGTCGGCCTGCTGAAGAAAAACTTTAATGTTCTGAGATATCTTCCAAATGACTGATTTTTCTTTTCTCTATGGAAACGTATTTTTAAATATACGTATAGTTCTTCTTCCATTATTAAGCTGTGATGTAAAGTCATTATTCAGACAAGCCAAAAACAGTTTTTACTTATAACTAGATATTTTTGTAGCATATTTACCTAATTATATTTTGCAAAGACAATCAGTAAATAAGTTTGCATTCCTTTAGCATGCTGATGAAAACACTGAAAACAGTAAAAATTGTTAACATCAAGTAGTAGAAAGACAAGGTCAGATGCTGGATGTAACATTCAAGTAGGGTGACCAACAGTTCCAGTTTGCCCGGGACTGAGGTGGTTCCCAGATTCCTGACTTTCAACTTTAAAATCGGGACAGTTTAGGGATGAGTTGGTCACCCTACATATAGTATCCACCCAAGTGACTTGTTGAATGACTGGCTTGTTGACTGAGTGGCAGAAAAAAATGAACTTAAGGACAAAAAAGTAGTCACAGAAAATTCACAACCTGGAGAGCAGACATGCTGAAAAAAAGGAGGGCCAACTGTACAACAAGTGTCAATGGATTTCAGAGCCTTTTGATTTCAACATAGAAGAACATCCCAGTACCAGTTATTTTTAGAAGTATTTCTGGACTATACATGAAATGGAGCCCTAGGTTTTTTAATACTGAGGACAAACAACTTTAAAAATATATAACTGCAAAAGTGGGCAAATCTAAACTTACATTCTTTCAGCTACACCATTTTTCATATTTAGACTTTGCCTGCTATGTAAATATCCTAATTTTGTTTCAAAAAACTAATTCTTGGGCTCAAATTATTTCACATGTATAAAATTGAAATTTGATTCCAAAGTAGCAAAGCAGATGGATTATAAATAACTTTTTTTATTTTTTTTGAGTTGGACTCTCACTCTGTCGCCCAGGCTGGAAAGCAGTGGCACATTCTAAGCCACCTCAGTGTCGACCTGCTGGGCGCCGGCAATCCTTCCACCTCAGCCTTCCAAGTAGCCAGAACTACAGGCACGCGTTACCACGCCTGGCTAATTTTTTGGATATACTGTAGAGACAAGGTCTCGCCAAGTTGCCCGGGCTGGTCTCAAACCCGCGGGCCCAGGCAATCTACTTGCCTCGGCCTCCCAAAGTGCTGGGATTATAGGCTGAGCCACCGAGCCTGGCCGTAAAGAACTATTAAAGTAAGAATAATAAAATTGAAAGGAATTAAAAATAAAATATGAATGATAAATCACACCATCAAAAAGATGTAAAGTGTTAATGTCAATCTTTAACAGTTTATACTAATGGAGGGAAGTACTGTTGAAATGTAAAAATAACTATTTTACTCATTAGATTTCAACAATCACTTTTCCCAATATGTAAAGAATAGCAAAAAAGTAGCTGAACTGATTGGTCGTCATCCTCTCTGGCTTATATAGTCTGCCCTCTGGTGGAAGTGCTAATGAATAGTGAAACAGCCGTAGCAGGAGAGACACTGTAGAAGCATCAGCGAGATAATCCAAGGGTGACTGTAATAATTACTAGTAGCATCTTCACTCTCCTCTGAAAAGTAAATTCAACAACTTCTGGCCATAGGTCAGCCCTTAACCTTAGTTTAATTTCACGATTTGGTTTGTAGGCTCAATTACTGGGTGAACTTCTTTCAATAATTATGCTATGCAATTTAAACCACTTCTTTCAGATGTGATTAAAGCTAAATTTTTTTTTTTGGAGGGGAAGGGGCTCAGAATCTGGGAGATGAGATAAGATCTGCTTTAATTCTAGCTTAGGTTTCTCTGTTATGCCCTGGAGTTCCCCCCACCAAATTGGGATCATCATGAGTAACAAAGCGAATTAAAAAAATGAGTACACGAGTTCTAATTCTTTTCTTTGCCAATAATCAGCAGTGGGATAACAGGCAGACTATAAATGTAAACTCCCTGGATTGCAGTTTTCCTATCTGTAAAGGGATTAATTTTATGTTATCATCCACTTTTAAGAGTCTCTTATGTATAGCTTATGTATCTGACCCTATACATAAAAGAAAGCATACACTTTCCTCACCATCCCATATGAAATGTGAATACAGGACCCTGAAGTTGAAGATTAGTATACCTCTTCAGCCCTCGTGCCTCTTCTTATACCCCAATTCAGAGTCTTCATGGACAGTGAAAATTTCCAAGGAGTTAAAAAACACTTTTAGATAAGTAAAGATTTTGCAAATAGACTGTGAGTCAGAATTAATTAGAAAATTTAAACTTCTTTTTCCTCTAATAAATTGCATGTGAGATCAAGGTATAACATAATTTCTTTATAAAATACTCACTTCCTGATCTGGGGTCTATTCAACTGTTTCTTTCAGAAACAGATTTAAAGAAATTTTTTAAATATGCAGTTATGTTTGAGAAAAGAAATGCATGGTGTTAATTATCTGCTTATATATATTCCCAAATTAGTCTTCAAAGAAATGAACAAAATTAGGATTTTCTTGATTCTATCTTCCAAGTAAGACTCTGGTATTCAGTATCCACTCCATAGAGATAAAGAAGTATAATCTGATAATGGTTTGTTTGGAAATAAGATTTTCAAGTGCTGGGAGTAGCTGGCCACCACATACACAGTGGTTCAAGATACATCACTTGCTATGGTTGTGGTTTCCTAGGTCAGAACACAGGGACTTTACTTACCTACCTCCTAGGAAGAGGAAAAACAATCAGTATATGATAGGTGATTTGAGAAGCTTTGAGACTTAAATAAAAGAAGCTGGACAAGAACTGTGGTGCTATGTTCTCCTGTAGACTATGAAACCGAAAACACTGATATAAAAAAGAAAATGTTAAAGAGATTTTTAAGATCATCAGCACCTGAGCTCAATGAGATTCATGACCAATCTGTTTACCTGCTGCCTCCTCCTGTGGCATTGTGGGAGTTCTTCGGGGCCCCTGTGGTCCACTGTTCTTGTCACTGTTGTTTTCCTCCAGGCTGCTGGCTGGCTCTTGGGTTTTCATCAGTTGACTCAAGAGAACTGCCAACATATTCTGCATGTCAGCTGGTGTGCTTGAAGTTTCAGGGGTTGTCTGTTCTGCTGAAGGTGGGACCGCTGGGGCAGGGGGTGCTTCCTTCAAAGACTCCTCTGGGGCCATGGGCTCTGAGTCATGCTGCTGCGAAGTAGCTTCCGTCAGGGCAGTGATGGATTGGTTCAGGGCTTCCAGCTGCTGCTGCATCTCTGGGTTGGAGTGGATGTTAAGCAGCTGTGCCATTTGAGGGATGCTCAGGTCGGTCTGGCTCTGCAGCAGGTTCAATAACACTGCCAATTCACTTTGATTCAGCTGCTGTGTGATGTCACCAAGGCCTATGGAGAAACAGTGAAGCAAACATAAGAGGACAAGACAAGAGAGCCCTTGTCATCTTCAACTGGCTAGAACTTATGATATCCAAAGAATGAAGTTTCATTTTTAATGTCTCATTTTTCATGCCTCTGTCATGACACAATTCATTATTCTTTATGCTTTTACTCAAAAAAATATAGGGACAAACTCTGCATTGTGCATAAAAGTGATTTCATCTTATCTGTATTCTTCAAGATCAGTGATTTTCAACCTTTACTTTGTAACAAAATTACTATGAAAGATTTCAAAATTCAGATCCCTTAGGAGCCTCTCCTAGAGATCTGGTATGGGAGTATTTGTTTTTAAAGCTTCCTGGCTGTTTCTAATTTGTAGTCAGTACTGAAAACCACCATCTACAGCCATACCACCCTGAACGCAACCGATCTTGTCTGATCGCAAAAGCTAAAAGCAGGGTCGGGCCTGGTTAGTACTTGGATGGGAGAACCACTGTAAACAGGGAAGGGAAAGTGAACCAGAAAAAGAGTACCTGTGGTTCAGATAAATTGGTAGAACCACAGGGAGCTACTTTGTTGTAATAGTTCATTATGACACATTTTTAGATATATTTAGATCAAAATAAAAGTCTGCAAAACTAACAATATTTAGAAATTGTGATTTAACATGATTAGATTCTAAGAAGGTCCTATCAAACGTAACATAAACAGGGATCCAAATTATGTGTTAGAAAGTCATGGGTGAATTAACCTTAAATTAAACTTGACATATCTAATTCATTGATTTATGCCACATATCTAATTGAGATACAGTGTTGCATAATTCAGAAATGGAAAATTATCTATTGTAGAATTTCTGGACTATATGTACAAAACTTGGTTTATCTTCTCCCCATAATGAGGACATTAACCTCTTTCCTAATGGTTCACTGGACAAAAACTATGAAACAGACACAGACACACAGACTCCTTGTACGTGACCTTCAAAACCTGCCAAAATATGCTTCATAAAAGGAAAGGTACCATTCCAACACTGACCTACTGCATCCCCAGCTGCAGGCTCCACCTTTCCGGGAGCAGGAGGAGGTGGTGCTGGGCTGCTGTTCTTCACAGGCTCAGCACTTGTCCCTGAGGTAGTTTCTTTTCGAGAGGCTTTGGATGGAGGTGGCTCTTCCACTACAACACCACTTTGTCGATGACGTCGTCGTTTCTTACTCCACAACTCATGGCAATCCTGCCAGTGGGGAAGGCTGGAAAAAAACAAAGCAAGGGGAAATGTGTATGGAAATATGATAGTGAGTGGATGAAGGGGCAAAGGATTAAAATGGGAAGGCAAAGAATGTGGGAAATGGAAAGAATACAGAAGACATAAAAATAACCAGAAAAGTCGGGCTTGGTGGCTCAGCCCGTAATCCCACGCCTTTGGGAGGCTGAGGTGAGTGGATTGCCTGAGCCCGCGGGTTCGAGACCCGCTTGGGCAGCGAGACCTCAACTCTACAATAAATCAAAAAATCAGCCGGGCGTGGTAGCGCATGCCTGTTATTCCAGCTACTTGGAAGGCTGAGATGGAAGGATCACCTGAGCCCAGCAGGTCAAGGCTGCGGTGGCCGGGAGTGGCCACTGCACTCCAGTTTGGGCGACAGAGTGAGACTCCAACTCAAAAAACAAAAAAACCCAAAAATAACCAGAGAAATAAGTAAGTAGGTAGCAGCAGTGTAAAAGGAATCATGGCAGATGGTAGTCTGAGGGAATAAAAGTCCAAAAGATTTATTCAGTGAGAAATAAAGACCTTGCTAATACTAGGGACAGATCCTATATAAACTCCCATATAAATACTGTCTTTCCTTGGCATAACAAGAATAATGGAGAACTTTATTGTCCAAGTTTCAGTTGGGAATAAACAGGAGGACAGACTGGCTAGTTAATATCTTCAAAAGGTCTAGAAAATGTGGTGACTTAAATCTTGGAACCATAAAAGTATATATCATGCTTAATTCTCTTTCGTGCAAAATCAACTTGTGTGTTATTTGGTCTGTGAGAGCTAAAGCCTAGTTTTTACTTCTTTCTGCCCACTGAATTTCCACAACTGGATATCAGCCTTTTCATCTATGGAGTTCAATACTATGTATAACCTAGTATTTATTTCCAGACTTCCCCACAGAATAGTCCAAGTAAGTCAGATCTTACTACAAAATCTGTCTATAACAAGAGTTTCAAAATTGCACTAAAAAGCTTACGTATTTCAAACCAAGTGTATCAAAATAACTAGTGCAATAAATGAATTTGGACATTTCTCTGGAGCAAGCAGATTTGTAGTTACTATCTACTCATGAGCTGACATCTTATCTATTTCTTTTCTTTGAGTTGGATTCTCATTCTGTTGCCCAGGCTGGAGAGCAATGACAATCCTTAGACACCGCACCCTCAACCTGCTGAGCTCAAGCAATCCTTCCACCCCAGCCTTCGTAGTAGCTGGTACCACAGGCGTATACTACCATACCTGGTTAATTTTTTTATTTACTGTAGAGATGGGGTCTCACCAAGTTTCCCAAGCTGGTCTCAGGCAATCTTATCACCTCTGCCTCCCAAAGTGCTGGGATTATAGGCGTGAGCCAACAGGTCTGGCCCTAACAACTTATCTACTTCCTTAAGACAAGTCTTTCTTTCTTTCTTTTTTTTTGAGTTGGAGTCTCACTCTGTCGCCCAGACTGGAGTGCAGTGGCCGCTCCCAGCCACCGCAGCCTCTACCTACTGGGCTCAGGCGATCCTTCCGCCTCAGCCTTCCAAGTAGCTGGAACTACAGGTGCGCACTACCATGCCCAGCTAATTTTTAATTTATTGTAGAAATGACGTCTCGCCAAGTTGCCCAGGTGGGTCGCGAACCCACGGGCTCAGGCAATCCACTCACCTCAGCCTCCCCAAGCGAGGGATTACAGGCTGAGCCACCGAGCCCGGCTGACAAGTCTTTCTTAAAGTAAGAAAATGCCCCCAAAATCTGATATTTTGAAAGCTATAATACTGTCAGTGATAAATTCAAAGATAAAAAGACTTTTTATGTGTCACAATAATGTGGGCTATGAGAGCAGAATTTCTGGAGCACCAACATAATACAGGAAATTCATAAGATTCTATTGAAAGAATGACACGTTCAAAGATAGTATTTTTTACATCAAAAGGCAATGACCTGACTGACAGTGAAGCAATCCATTTAAGATTGGGACCATCTTAACAAGTGTCGGATATACATGGTTGCCACAGACATGGGTGATTTAAGCAGATGGAATGGTTAAGAATAAAAACTAGAAGGAATATATATATATATATATATATTTTAAGTTGGAGTCTCACTATGTCACCCAGCCTGGAGTGCAGTGCCATGATCACAGCTACCATAGCCTCAACCTGCTCGGCTCAGGCAATCCTTCCGCCTCAGCCTTCCAAGTAACTGGAACCACAGGTACGCCTCACCACACCTGGCTAACTTTTTGATTTATTGTAGAGATGAGGTCTCACCAAGTTGTCCAGGCTGGTCTTGAACCTCTGCGCGCAGGCAATCCTCTCACCTCCACTTCCCAAAGTGCTGGGATTACAGGCATGAGCCACTGTGCCTGACTAGGAGTATTTCCAAAGAGGCTATACAGGGCAATATTTTGGAATGGGATCCAAGGACAAAAGAGGGCAGCTTGAGTCAAATTAGAAAATCATAGCTAAATCTCTTCCTTGTATAAAGAAAATAAACCACAAAAACAAAAACAAAGACAAAACCCAAAACGAAAACCCAATAACAAATTTCCTCAATCATAATACTCAAGGAGAACTCTCAATTTGGGACTTACTGGCCATTTGTGATTCTTTTTAAAAAACTTATTATGTTTAGTTTCTCATCTCCTAAAGCCTAGAAGGTTTAGGGTCATGACACAGCCACCAGCACTTACTCTGGAGGAGCCATTTTGCTGAGTTCAACATCTTTAAGGAAGTCACTCTGTAGGGTCTGTTCAGCTGTGCAACGTTTGCTGGGATCTAGTGTTAGCATGTGGTCCAATAAATCAAGTGCTGTTGAAGGAATGCTGTGAAAAAGAACAAAGAAAGAACAAGTTCACAATGACCCTACTGTTCTCAAACCTGTAACCTAGTGTCAAAACGTCTTTGAATTTCAGTTCCATGTAAAAATGAGGAAAGGAAGCTGAAGTTGGCTAATGCAAGGAAGCAGATTTGCTTTCACACAGGATTTAAGAAATGCTACAATACAGGTAAAAAACATGAAGTTAACAGTTCCACTCTCTTTTCTTCTTGGGAAGACAAAAAAGACTGAGAAAATTGATATACTGTTCAAAAGAAAATGCTTTTCTATTATCTAAACTCTTCAAAAGAGAAAATTACAAAAGGACTACAATAAAACACATATATCATTGAAAAATAAGATGTTTTCCCATGGTGTATTCCCACAATGAACTGGGACAATATTGACTGCCAGACAAGGAAAAAGGCAAGTCCTAACACCACCCAGACACAGGAACAAGATGTACATTTTTGCCAAACTCACAAAGAGAATTCTTCTCGTAAACGCCTTCTATATTGCTTCTTCGGTTTCATGGTGTTGAAGTAGGGCAACTTGATAACATCAGGCCACACAGCTGGACAAGGGGTACCACAGAGTCGGCTGAAAAAGAAGCAACACGCAAGAGCAAGGAAGTGAGTGAGGCAGCAACATGAATTCTGGCAGTTCAAGAAGCAGAAATTATTACCTCCTGAGGTCTGGGAAATCTTTGCGTTAGAGGGCATACAGAGAGGTAAAATATGACCTTATAGCTTTAAGGACAGAAAGGAATAGGATAGAAATAATTGGTTACACAAGAGTGAAGAAAAAATACTGGCACAATAGTCCAAACTGATACACATTATTTGAATTTGTAAAACATGTTTTTAGTCCTCCACACAGGTTTTCATTACCAATTTTGTTCTGTTCAGTAATTAACTTCAAAGGGTTTTTACAGTTGGTTCTAGTGTCCCCATAGGGAAAACTGCAAGAAAAGAGCCTAAGACTAGGAATTTTGATAGATAACTGAATAACAAAAAATAAGTTTACATATCACCTTTAAACATGCTATACTAACCTGTTGAATTCTTCCCTTTAATTTTATTGGGGAAAAAAAACAACTCCAAATTCCAACCCTAAGACTTCTCCAAATCTTCTTTTATAGAATATATTTTATAACCAGTTAAATGCTGCATATCTTACTAAACTGTGCATTATTTGAAGAAAAGGACCTATCAGTTACCTCTAAATCCTTAAGATTAATGGAAAAAGTAAACTGTCACATAACAATCTAAATAAATGTTAGCTGAATAAATTTAATCTTAACCTGATCTAAGAATGAAAAAGTCATCCTGAGAACGGCATGCTTAGAAAACTATTTAAAACCATGCAAAAACTATTTAAAACTATTTAAAAATTAGGTGAATTACAACTTCTTTCTAGATACAGTCCATGACAAAACATGGTAAATCTGACTGACAAGAAGCTTTCTTGGACATAAGGAACACAAAATCATTCAGAATAACTCAAAACAGGTAGAAATGGGAGGATGAGATTACCTATCACACCTGGGCACTAAGAGCACATGCACAGCTGTACCTGATTAGTTCGAGCTGAGCCAGTTCCAGATTGGCTTGAAAAATAGGCTTCTTTGTGAACAGTTCTCCAAGAATGCATCTAGAAAACATAAAATTGAGAGGTCAGGAGAGAAATCCCTGGAGCCTGTTTAAAGTGTGTCTCAACAAACTTTACAGCATATCATGCTGCACCCAATATACTATGTTGTAAACAAGACCAAAACTTCATTGTCTGAGTTTTCTAAAAGAAAATATTTCAGGCAGTGCAGAAGACAGTATAAAAAATTTAAATTTGCCAGCAGATCAAATGTTGCACCTAAAAAGGACATTCTAGACAGGGCTCAGTGGCTCAGCCTGTAATCCCAGCACTTTGGGAGGCCAAGGCGAGTGGACTGCCTGAGCCCACAGGTTAGCGAACAGCCCGGGCAACTTGGCGAGACCTCGTCTCTACAACAAATCAAAAATTAGCCAGCTGTGGTAGCACTCGCCTGTAGTTCCGGCTACTTGGAAGGCTGAGGCAGGATTACTGGAGCCCAGCAGGTCGACACTGTGGTGGCTGTGAGTGTGCCACTGCACTTCAGTCTGGGTGACAGAGTGAGATTCCAACCCCCCCAAAAAAAAGGTCAGTCTATGAGCAGAGAAAGGGAGTTGAGTCATTCTTTTCTATCATGCCATTGTAAATTAAGGAAACAACGAAAGACAATTTTACAAGGATGCTCAGCAGTTTCTGTAAAGAAAGTATTAGTTTTTGTCATTAAACTTCTCTGTAGAATATGCACTATACTATAGCTTTCTTGGAACTGTACTGCAAAGAAAGTAACTTATTATCAGCTAGGACCCATTTTATTTGGACTTCCAAATAAAGTATGCTTAAACACAATTGTGATTATAAAAAGAGCTTTCAAAACTATATGGACATATTTACATAATTGCAAATTATCTCTCTACAAATTACTTACTAATTATAAAGAAAGACTAGTAACTAGTGAGGAAAGAAAGACAATATCTTCACTAAATAATGAAAATTAACATAATCAATAAGAGGGAAAGTCCATGCTAAGTACAGATATGATACCCTGATAAGAATATAACAGTGATTATTGAAAACTGCAGCCAGCCGGGCTCGGTGGCTCAGCCTGTAATCCCAGCACTTTGGGAGGCTAAGGTGAGTGGACTGCCTGAGTCCGTGGGTTTGAGACCCGCCTGGGCAACTTGGCGAGACCTCATCTCTACAATAAATCAAAAACTAGCCAGGCGTGGTAGTGCACGTCTGTAGTTCTGGCTACTTGGAAGGCTGAGGTGGAAGGATCGCCGGAGCTCAGCGGGTCGAGGCTGCGGTGGCTGGGAGCGGCCACTGCACTCCAGTCTGGGCGACAGAGTGAGACTCCAACTCAAAAAAAGAAAACTGCAACCAAAAATGCAAAACTTGAATCTATATAATAACCGGTCTGGATTTTTCAAAAATGTAAATGTCATAAAAGACAAAGAAAGACTAAGTAACTATTTGAGATTAAAGAAAATAAGGAGGCCGGGTGCAGTGGCTCATGCCTATAATACCAGTACTTTGGGAGGCCGAAATGAGAGGACTGTCTGAACCCAAGGGTTTGAGACAAGTCTGGGCAAATTGGCGTGACCTCGTCTCTACAATAAGTCCAAAAATCAGCCATGCGTGGTGGCAAGTGCCTATAGTTTCAGCTACTTAAAAGGCTGAGGCAGACAGATCACCTGAGTCCAGTGGGTTGAGGCTATGGTGGCTGCGAGTGTGCAACTGCACTCCAGTCTGGGTGACAGAGTGAGACTTCAACTCAAAAAAAAGCAAAAGCAAAAGAAAATAAGGGTCAAGAATGGTGGCTCATGCCTGCAATCTCAGCACTTTGGGAGGCCCAGGCGGGAGTTTGAGAACAGCCAGAGGAACAGTGAGATCTCCTCACCCCCTACAAAAAACCAAAAAAATTAGCCTGGCATGGTGGCTCACGCTTGTGGTCCCAACTATTTGGGAGGCTAAGGTGGAAGGATCACCTAAGCCGAGGAGGTCAAGGCTGCAGTGAGCTATGACTGCAACACTGCACTCTGGCCTGGGTGACAAAATGAGATGATGGGGGAAAAAAAGAACAAAAGAATGAATGAACAAACTGGATCCTATATTGTTTCTTGGACATTGTTAGGGTATGAATAAAACTGGAATATGGAATGTAGATTAAAGTGATGTATTAAGTAAAAATAGATGTCAGTGTGGTGGCTCAAGCCTGTAATCCCAGCATTTTGGGAGGTGAGAGGATTGCCTGAGCTCAGGAATTCAAGACCAGCCTGAGCAACATAGCAAGATGTCGTCTCTACAATAAATCAAGAAAAATTAGTTGGGTGTGGTGGCGTATACTTGTAGTTTCAACTACCTGGAAGGTCAAGGTGGAAGGATAGCCTGAGCCCAGTAGATCAAGGCTGCCGTGGCCATAAGCAGGTCACTGCAGTCCAGCTTGGGTGGCAGAGTGAGACTCATTTAACTCAAGAAAAAAAAAAAAGTTCACATCAATGTTAAAATTCCTGAATTTGATAACTGTATTGTGGTTAAAGAAAAATATATCTCTGTTCTTAAAGACTACATGTTAAATACTAAGAAGAAAAGGGGTATGATATAAGCAACTACCTTCAAGCAGTTCTGAAAAAAATATGTGGTATATACACACACACACATTTTGTATATATTATATATTTGGAAATATGTAAGATGCTAAAAATTGGTGAATCTAACAAGAATGAATCTCAAAATAATTTATGCTGATTAAAAGATGCCAGGGACAGGGAGAACATATATGTAATGTATAATTGCATTTCTATAAAATTTTAGAAATGAAAATTGGTAGTGACAGAAAGCAGAACAGTTGGCTAGGGATGGAAGGCTGTGGGTAGAAAAGATCACAAAGGGACACAAGGAAACTATTGAAGGGATCATGAATTTAGCTGTGGTGATAGTTTTACTGATAAATACACTATGTCAAAACTTATCAAACTGTACACTTTACATATATGCAGTTTATTATATGCTTCAATAAAAAGGTTTAAAATACCTAGTGAATCTGGATACGGCTAAAGTTCTCTGTACTATTCTTGCAACTTTTCCATATACTTTTGTATGCCTGAAATACCTTTTTTTTTTTTTGAGTTGGAGTCTCACTCTTTTGCCCAGGCTGGAGTGCAGAGGCACGCTCACGGCCATCATAGCCTCAACCTGCAGGGCTTAGGCGATCCTTCTGCCTTCCAGCCTTCCAAGTAGCTGGAACTACAGGCATGCACTATCACACCTGGTTAATTTTTTTATTTACTGTAGAGATGAGGTCTCACCAAGTTGTCCAGGTGGGTCTCGAACACATGGGCTCAGGCAATCCTCTCACCTCTGCCTCCCCCAAAGTGCTGGGATTATAGGCATGAGCCACAGTGCTCAGCCTTTTTTTTTTCCTTTTTGAGAAGGAGTCACTCTGTCATCCAGGCTGGAGGTCAGTGGAATGCTCACAGCCACCATAGCTTCAACCTGCTGGGCTCAGGCAACTTCCACCTCAGCCTTGCAAGTAGCTGGAACTATAGGCGTGTGCCACCATGCCCGGCTAATTTTTTTGATTTATTGTAGAGAGGAGGTCTCACCAAGTCTAGACTCAAACCCTTTGGCTCAGGCAATCCTCTTGCCTCCACCTTTCAAAGTGTTGGGATTACAGGCATGAGTCACCAGGCCCGGCCACTTTATTTTTTTTTTTAAGTGGGAAAAGAAAAAAAATGGACAATGAATCTCATCTCTGACCTATGCTTTGAAATGAGACTTATTTACAAATAGAAAACCAAAACTTACTGTTTAACTTTGAAATTCCTTAGCTTGACTTAAGAAAGCAAAACAAATCTAGCTTTTTAAGTATTTAGTACTTTTCCTTAGAATTTATTAACCTCAATGAGAACAGACAAATTCTCACTTCAAAATATTTTCTCAAACCCTATTCAAAGATGGAAAAGCAAAAGTAAAACTTAATTGTTTCTAACATTATATGCCAAATCAAGTTGTAAGTATGGTGTTGTCACAACTAGTAAAATAAGAGACAGGAAAAAAAATCCCACAAAAACTGGCAGGTTTTCAGACTTCAGGGATCATTTGATGTACTGGTTTTTCTAGTTTCTCTCCTGATTTGCAAATGAACTACGACACCAATTCTCTCCATAAAATATCCCATTAAGAAAATATTTGGGCCAGGCGAAGTAGCTCAAGTCTGTAATCCCAGCATTTTGTGAGGCCGAGGTGAGGGGACTGCCTGAACCCACGGGTTCAAGAACAGCCTTGGGCAACTTGATGAGACCTCATCTCTACAATAAATCAGAAACGTAGCCGGGCATGGTAGCACACGCTTGTAGTTCCAGCAACTTGGAAGGCTGAGGCATAAGGATCGCCTAAGCCCAGCAGTTGACACTGAGATAGCCGTGAGCGTTCCACTGTACTCCAGTCTGAGCAATGGAGTGAGAATCCAACTCAAAATATATATGTTCAGAGAGACTATCATGGATCACCAAAGTAATACCTTCACATCAAAAGTCAAACAAAATCTCAAATCAATGAGTCACCAGGCTTTCAGGAAAGTCTAGCTTTTTTTTTTTTTTTTGAGCTGGAGTCTCTCTCAGTTGTCCAGGCTGGAGTGTAGTGGCACGCTCATGATCACCGCAGCCTCGACCTGCTGGGCTAAGGCAATCCTTCTGTCTCAGCCTTTCAAGTAGCTGGAAGCACAGATGCACACCACCACACCTGCCTAATTTTTTTGAGTTACTGTAGAGAAGAGGTCTCGCTATGTTACTCAGGCCAGTCTTGAAACCCTGAGCTCAGGCAATCCTCTCGTCTCCGCCTCCCAAAGTGCTGGGATTTATAGGCATGAGTCACCGTCCCTCCGCCCTTCTATAGTTGTTTTTTTTTTTTTTTTGAGTTGGAGCCTCACTCTGTGGCCCAGGCTGGAGTGCAGTGGCACACTCACAGCTACCCCAGTGTCAACGTGCTGGGCTCTGGTGATCCTTCTGTCTCAGACTTCCAAGTAGCTGGAACTACAGGCGCGTGCTACCACACCCGGCTAATTTTTA